ATTCTATTCTATTCTATTCTATTCTATTCTATTCTATTCTATTCTATTCTATTCTATTCTATTTCTATTTCTATTTCTATTTCTATTTCTATTTCTAATTCTATTCTATTCCAAACCATCAGCAAATGAATGGCTGTTAAGTCGATGGTTACCTGTACAGAGTTGCCTGCTTGACCTACAAAGGAGAATATATGCAGCTTAGGATTGAAACGAGGGGTCCTTGGTGCTCTCTGAGCCTGGCTGTTTTCTGGTTGTTTTCTGGCAGACTTTTTCTGCCCACAGCCAGCAGTTCGATCCCAACCGACTCAAGGTGTGACTTCCCTCCTTCCCTCTTTCCGAGGTGGGCGAAACGAGGACTTACCTCAAAGATAATGGATTGGTTATTCTTTTTGAGGTAGAAGGCAAAGACGTAGGTGTACATGAGCGTGGCACGGCACTGGCAGAGGACGTCGACCGCTTTCTTCAGGAACTGGACTTCGATCCAGGACATGTTGTGCTGTTGCATCTCCTCCATCTTCTGCTTGACTTGGGCGTAGAGTTTGTGCTCAAAGCGCAGGCTCTGCATGTGGTTCATGTAGCGGTTGCAGTAGAAGAGGTACCTCTGCAGGGCGGCTCGGGAGCGCTGCATTGGATTCCCCATTAGCGAAAGGGAAAAGCGAGAATTAAAGCGGATGAATCCCTAAGGGGATCCCCCGGGGGTGGGGGGAAAGGAGGAACCCCCCCACCCCACCCTAGGGGAAGAAGGGAGAGGGACAACCTTGGCCTCGTTCAGCAAGTTCTCCAGGTGAAGCTCTGAATCGCATACCCCGGGAGACCACCTGACACAACGTCCCCTGCCAGCACAAACCCCCAAATTGACTGAAATAACTTGGAAGGGGCTCCAATTTCATAAGGTCACAAGAGACTGGAAAAAAGACTTTCGAGCTGGCTTGGTGGCCACATTTTATTTAGGTACGGACGTATTTATTTATGGGTGGCTGAACTAAAAATGGTTTGAACTCTCAAGAGGATGAGGGAAGAGAAAGGGCGGATCCCCGAGTCATCCCAAATCGTAGCGGAAAGCTCCGGGTCTAGAAAAAAAAGGGGCTTCGCGATTAAAAGATCTCTACAAATGGGAAGAACAGACTTTCCCGCAGTACTAAAGATCTAACAGATTACTTTTTTTTTTCCCCCCGTGAAGGTATACGAAAGGAAGGCCCTCCAGGTAGAAGCAATGGTGTGCAGCCAGAATGCCAGGTAATAAAAGAAACCGCATAAAGAGCGGCGACATCCAGCGCACCTGTCTATCCACAGCAAAACATCTCAAGGAGAACTGCATCAAGGAAAGACATTGAGCACCTTCAATGTCCCCGTGGTACAAATTAGCCAAGAACTCTGACATCAAGGAAGCAATAAATCAATCAATCGGCCACTTGTTGTGCGTTTAAGGCTGGAAGCCAACCCTACTCCACATTCTCCCTCAGAGGGAGACTAGCAAGCGGTCAACAGCTTCCTGGGCTGCCAAGAGGGATGAACTCACCTCCTGGGCATCTCTTGCTGCCTTGGCATCATCCTCGTTGTAGCGGTTGCAGTTGTACCTGAAAGAGGTTTGTGAGTGTGTAGATTTCTAAAATCATCCCTCCCATTCGTATCTATCAGGCCAAGTTCTGGATTCATTCGTTCGTTTTTCATTCATTCATTCATTCACTTTTTGTAAGCAGGACGAAATATCTTGTGGTGTCTTTGCTAGCCTTCAGGGCCTAACAGCCGACTAGAGAAATGTTTCTCAACCTGTACAGCTTTTAAGACAAGTGGACTTCAATTCCCAGAATTCCCCAGCCGGCAAGGGGAACCACTTCAGGTCCAAAGCATCCTTCTCAGGATGCCAAAAAACCCGGCGGGAAATAGAAGTGAATTTCCAATCACACCATGATGAGTCGATCACACAATATTTCTTCAGCTCATACGAAATGTTTTCTACGCGAAGAACCGTATGTTTGCTCAAACTGATGTTGAATGATTCCCTCCACAACTTCTTGCAACATGCTGGCTGGGGAATTCTGGGAGTTTGAAATCCACACAGCTTAAAATGGGTAAAAAAGGTTGAGACAAAGCAGACTTAAGGCTTCTCTGAAGATCCTCATGTCTCACCACAAGTAATGTAAGAGTTAAAGAAAAAAACATTCATCCATATGCAGCAATTATCTGGCTCATTCCTCCTACAGAAAAAAACAAAACATTCCCAACCATCCAACTGTTCCCAAACCCCCATAAGCATTTATTTAAACATACCAGGCAGATCCATGCGGCTCCCAGGGGCCGAGACACACCCAGCAAAACTCTGCTTTACAGTTCTGGTTCCGACAGACCATGTGGTTGCAGCCGCCATCTTTTTCGATAGTCACGTGGCATTTGGGACACTCCTGCGGGCAACAGGAAGGGTGGTGAGATCCAAAACCAGCAAGGCATTATTCTTCCTATTTAAAACATCATGTCAGGGCTCCGACAAATCCACCCCTGCCCCACATTCAAATCATAAGTCTCTAGCCGCATCTCTCAGAGTTTAAAAAAACTCATTTATTAGGAGTGACCATGTCAGCGTTACTTGGGTGCAGCAGATACTAAAATACATCATTCATTTCCCCCTTGACCCTGGTCTTCCCCCCACCCCCTGGATGTATATTTTCCAATGGGACACATCCATAGCCAAGAGTCATCAATCGTGCTCTCCAGTAATAATCTTGCGCACCAACAGCTTCGGCTGCCTAGCAATTATCTGAAGCATTTAGGGAATGCACTGCTTTCCCCCACTCCCTTTCTGCTGGCAAAAAAAAAAAAGACCAAAGAAGTATTTTTTTAGTTGACACATCACTTAAGAGAGATAGTCAGTGCAGGATGAATGCAATCAAAAGACTCTTTGGATTGCAGATTTAGCTATCAAACTGCCTTAAGCAGCATAAAAAGTTGGCCTTGTGTAATGAGAACGCAACCAATAAGAATTCCACTGTTTCCAGGTCAACTTTTACAGAAAACCCTTCATGTGGTACAAGCCCTCTCTAGACCTTATAACGGTGTTTCTCATTCTGGGGCATTTTAAGATGTGTGGACTTCCATGCTGGCCCTGGGGAATTCTGGGAGCTGGAGCCAAACATAACTTCAAATGATCCAGGATGAGAAACACTGGCTTATAAACGTTAAATAAATTCTGAACGCATTGACAAGCTCTGGGAGAAGAGTGGGGAAGATACTTAGCACCTGTCTATCAAGGCAAAGACCAACACAGTCCATCATTTCGGTTTCTGGCTAACGAAATGCTGCCAGGATGCTCATGAGAAGAAAACAAACTCATCTCCAATCTATCTAAATTCTCCCATCTATCTATCCTTCCTGAATTTATCCAAATCCCTCCTCAAAGCTATCCACATTAGGGGCCATCGCCCCACCTTGAGGTCATAAAGTCCAGAGGTTATGGGCTGTGAAAAACAATGGTTTGAATCAGGTGTTATCAGAGGGCCCCAACCTCAGTATTGGGAAGAGCAAAACTCGTCTACTTTCTCCATTTCCATGGGTTGTTTTTTTTTCCCCACACACCTTAACTAGTTCCTCTTCTCCACCACCGACAACGAAAGACTGTACAGAATTTGTTGAAAAGCTTGTTGCCTAAAAAGGGTGAAACGGGCCACCCATTTTGAGTTGGGACCCATTTCCGGAAATCTGAGATTAAAAAGGGCTGTGTAGAAGCAATCAGGTCAAGTTTTGCAGTTTGCACAAAAGGATTCGGTAAAAATTTGCCTGAACCCTGGGAAAGGCACTGAAGATCAATACGGCAATAAATCAATAGCCAGACTTAGAGCACAAGATCACCTTCCTGCGTTTGCAGAAGTGGCAAAAACTGACACATTTCAGATCTGCGTTGCCTTTAATAATTGCAAATGTGTTAGTTCTCCTCAGTTAGACAATAACACCCGATTTTGCAGCAATTCAAAAAAAAATAACAACCCCCCCGCTCCCCAAAACCAGGCGTAATAGATACTGGTACTTTTTTTTTGGCTCTTCAGTTATTTGAGTTGGAAAGAGAAGAAACCAAAGAGCTATTGTTTACAGGCAAAAATTATCACTCACTATATGCAAATGGAATTACCGGACTTCACAGAACGTTCTTGTAAGGGAGAAAAGAGACTCTGTTATTGTGAGGGTGTCAAGCCAGAGAAACAAACCACCAAACCTTTGTGTTTGCTGCAATCCAATTCGAAGTTTCACTGTCATCATCACACTTCTTAATCCATTTCTTTAACCACTGTTCGGGAGAGCGGGGGAAAAAAAAATCACAATTGTTCTAATGGCATCATTGCAGGATTGTTAAATTAAGAGTTTATCAGATATAAGGGACTGCCTGCAGAAATATGGGGTGAGCCATTCAAGTTCTCTACATGATCATCTAAAAGCAAGAGGAAGGCGGCAAGAATGGACATAGCAGGATTTAAAATAAAACAATGAACGTAAAATTTACAGCTGTCATAAAATTTAAAATTCCTCATCTTGTGAATGAAACAACTAGTTGAATATATATAGACTCCTGTCACCTTGAGAAATAATTGTAAAACTGTTTTATTTACTTATTCAAGCCAGTTCAGGTCCAAAGCCTCTTTCTCAGGATGCCCACAAAAGCAGTAGGAAATAGCTAGGAGTTCATTTCAAATCTCACCATGGGGAGTTGATTGCACATTTCTTCCGTTTATATGGAATGCTTTCTAAGCAGAGCCCTGTGTGTTTGCTCACCCTGATTTTGAATGCTTCATTCCAACTTCCTTGGAATGGAATGGAATTCCTAGGATGGGCCATACATTACTATGAAGTGGGTGTGTGTGTGTGACCTGAAGTGGGAGGGTTTTAGGCAAAGCCCCTCGGCCTATTCTTCAAAAGCTGTAATTTCCAGGTGATCCTAAGGCCCTTGGTTATGTATTGCTGCTGCTATGCTGATCCCCCATGAAGCTATTACTCTTCTATACTGCCACAGGTAAGATGCAAACCAGAAAGCTTGGAAAGCTCACCTTGCATTTAACAGGATCATGCCAGTTCTCACCACAGTTAAAACTGCAACAAACGTTTAAAATATCTTTTAGTTTTCCAGTTAAGCAATATTTTCAACAGGGGAATGTTTAAGACACAGAGCTTTGCTATATAACCCAAAAGCTTAATTTATGACCAGCAGTCAGCAAACATCTGCCTGTCCCCCCAAAAAAATATTCAGCAGCCCGTGTTCACTCGGCTTGGCTATCAGAGGAAGCCAAGGCGGATTTCCCCCATCACGCCAAGGTCCCAAAATCTAACCTTGGTGGTTCTATCATCCAACCTGCTTACCAAAACTGCCGGCCACATTTACAGCGAACAGGCTTAGCATCCGGATACTGTACTTTGACAACATGGTGGCAATCTGGAGCGGGACACCATTTTAACAGTCGATTGCACTGCAAGAAACAAACGTGCCCGTTGTTAGCAGGAAGGAAAGCCAAGGGGAAAAAAAACTGCACAGCCTCACTGCTTTCAATGGAGGTTTTTATTGCAGGGAAGGCAAGAACAGATTGCACTGAAAGATGGCTTGTTAAAAGAGTCCACCCCATTCCCTTCTCGTGCCAGAAATCTTTTATCCGAAGCTTCCTCTCAGCGGAGACGAGCCTGCTGTTATTTTCTCTTCAAGATAATTCCACCGCTTTAGTTAGAAGCGAGCCATAACTTGCTCCAATGGTGCCTTTCCAAAAGGCCAACTGGACTTTCTCGGGGTTTTTTTTTTTTCCCCCTTTCTTTGAAAACGTTTCACTTTTCATCCAAGTAGCTTTTTTCAGTTCTTCGGGAACTAAAGGAATCTCTTGGATGAAAAGCAAACCGTTTTCAAGGTGGTAGGGAAGAAAACACCAAGAGTGTCCAGTTTGCCTTCTGGAAAAGCACCTTTGGACCAACCACGGACCTGGATGGTTGAGGTTTTCCACAGACGAGTCTTAAAATTCTGGAATGGTTACATTTGGATGGCGCCCGATTTAGAAAGATTGAACTCATCATTTCAATTTCTCCAGAGGCATTCCAACTTCCACCTGTTTATCCGTGTGCTCTTTGCTGGGACAAACTGGAAGCCAGAACGAATGCATGCACAGTGGGGGGTGGGTGGGATGGGTGGGGAATATAAAGACATAAAAGACATAAAAAAATTATTTGTCATTACACTCGCAAGCGGGTGCAACGAAATGAGGTGCTCTTCCACAAATAAAACTGGACAACACCATTGAAAGAAAAATAAAACTAAACACAACAAACCATACAATAATCTCTATACAATTTAAAAAAGTAGATACCCCATTACTCTCAGCCATTAAATTCCACGAAAATCTTATGACCCTGCATTCAAACTCAAAACTGCACTTGGATAAAAACTGCTCTTAAATCTAGTCGTCCTTGTTCTTAAAACCCTGAATCTCCTTCTCGACGGTAATAGTTCAAAGAGCTGATGTCCCGGATGAGAGGAGTCATTCAATATATTAAATATCTTCCTCTTACATCTATTCCTATACCGTTCTTCCAAAGAGGGGAGTGTGGGAGGGAGACTTAGAGGTTCCTCCAAAAGACTCCCAGCTTTCTTCACGTTTTCCTATTTAAGATTTAAATAAAGAAATCCAGAACTGCAAGCAAGTCGGGTTGGAGAAGAATTGCTATAATCAAGCAATCAGAATATTGCTGGGAGGGACCTTGGAGGTCTTCTAGTCCATCCCCTTGCTCAAACAGGAGACCCTATATCATTTCAGACTGGTGGCTATCCAGCCTCTTCTTCTTAAAAGCCCCCCAGGGATGAAGCACCCACAGGTTCTGAAAGCAAGCTGTTCCACTGGCTACTTGTCCTCACCGTTAGGAAATTTCTCCTGAATTCTAGATTGTTTCTCTCCTTGGTTAGTTTCCATCCATTGCTTCTTGTCTTGCCTTCCGGTGCTTTGGAAAATAACTTGACCCACCTCCTCTTTCTGGCGGCCCCTCAAATACTGGAAGACTGCTTATCCAGGGCTGGCCCATTCCTGCCTGTCTTTTTTTGTTCAATGACCCCGTTGAGGCTGTGGGTCCAGCAACACCCAACAGACCAAACATTCACAAAGCCTGTATTGAAGGTTGCTGTTCGCCGTGGGCTGTCGAGATTCAGCCGTAGCTGATTAACATCACTGACATTTCACAAGTGCATGGTTACATGCACACTTTTCTGACAATTAAGGCCTAAAGACTGCATGGTCTCTTGCACACCTCCTAGAGTTTTGAAGCAACCTCGTTTTAGCAGTCCTTATTAGCCACCCTCCGGAGAAAAGGGCACTCCAAAGAGTGATTAAAAGGGCGCAAAAGATCAGCGGATGTCCTCTTCCCTCACTGGAGGATTTGTATAAAATGGGATGTCGAAGGAAGATACAAAAGATCTTGAGAGACCCTTCGCATCCAGGACACTCGTTGTTTGAGATCCTACCATCAGGAAGACCATATAGAGCGCTGAAAGCCAGGACAAGTAGATTTAAACATAGCTTTTACCCAAGTGCTGTGATCAGGTTAAATGCAGAGTTATGAATCTGGTGGCCTTAACATATATATATATATCCTGGTTGTACAGTTTTTAACTGTTATTTGTTTTAATTTGTTTTACATTGTTATTTGTATATGTCTTTTGGCGTTGTTCAGTTGTATGCTGTGGAAGAGCTCCTTATTTCGTTGTTCTCAGGTTTCTGAGTACAATGACAAAAAAATTTATATATCTATCCAGATCTAATGATGAATTTAATTCATTGACAGTCCTTTTGCGTTTATTATGAAATGGGAAGCCAACCAAACCAAGTGGCTAAAATACTTCTGCGAAACCGTGACCTTCACAGGGACGGGGATTTTAGATTTTGAGCCAAAGCTATATTGTTAGCTTTTAAAATGCTGTCTCATTAGAGCCAGCGCTAAACACACTTGCATCCATAAGCATTTGGCCATCAAATGCTGAGAAGGGAACCAAAAAGCAAACACCACTGACCAATCAACCACACCCCACGTATTTAAACAGCTTCTAACATATCAAGGGTTCCATAAATAAATGGAAGAAATTCCCATAAACCAGTCACGTTAGCGCATATTTTTAAGCGGAACACTCACCTCTACAAAACTATTAGTTATTAAATGCTGGTACTTTAATTTAACTTTTGAATCTGTGATCAGGCGCCTACAAAGAAAAGAGAAAGATAATATTCCATTCAGAAAACCTTGTTCCCTTAGGAGTCCAGCCTTCTTACCAAGGAATGTGTTTTCCGAGAAAGCAAAGAGTCTCCCTTAGCAATAAAGACCCAATATTTGAAAGAGTGGCTCTTCCCCCCCCGGGCATTGTTTTTGTTCTACCGCAGCAAAAGAAATAAAATCAAATTAAATCTTTACAGGAAAGCGGGGCCTTCTGAAAGCGGCACCCTGACTGCGGAAAGCCCCTTCCCTGAGAGACGCCAGCAACGACTCAGTCAAATGCCAGGCCAACAAGGAATGGGTTTGCCCGAGGCCGTTTAAATCCACAGGGTTAAATTCACTGGGCTATTTCAGACTTACAAATCAGGAAACAAGGAATGGCTCAATTGCTTGTATACGAGTCACACATGGGGACACCAAACTCCCCTGCAGCCATGTAATCTCTCTTTCCTCCCCACTCAACACATTTGTTTAACGTGCAAATGCTAGACCAGACGGTTGAGAAAACATCTCTGAAGTCACTTGGGCAGGATTACGACAGCCACCTCAAAGGGGCCAAACGGATTAATTCGAACCCAACATTTTATTCCTGGAAAGGGGTTATGCAAGAGCCCAGCCATGTCAAACAAGGCTATGAGATCATGAACTGGATTTATTATTAGATGACCTAATTTGGGCTCCGGAGTCGCTCTGCTTTGCTTCAAAGGTGGGGAAAGAACGATGAGACGTCCGGTCCCAATTTTGGGGCGACTCAAGAGAAACCATGCTTAACAACCTCGATCAAAGCCATTTCCGAGGTCTTTATCTGCTTCCATCCTGCTCCCTTCCCCGTTATGACCCTCTAGCAAAAGTACAGGTAGTCCTTGAATTCTAACGGTGACCGTTCTAAGTTACAACGGCACTGGAAAAAAAAAAGAATGACTTATGTTTTTCACACTTAAGACCATTGCAGCATTCCCCCCCATAGTCACATGATCAAAACTGAGGGGCTTGGCAACTGACTCCTATTTATGATGGTTGCAGCGTCCTGGGGTCATGTGGCTCCCCTCTGGCGGCCTCCTGGCAAGCAGCCGCTGCGGTGATTCGCTGAACGACGGTGGCAAGGAAGGGGGCAACACAGGACAAGAGTCCTGGGCCTGTTTAACAAGGCGGTTGACTCATCCGTCCGTAGGAGGAGGGGCCGAGCAACGGGAGTAAAAGCCTCAGAAAAAAGTAAAGGTTATACTGAAATTGCGTCAAGCGCAATACTTACATAACTGTATTGTCATCAACCAAGATATCACAGCCGTGAGCCGGGCATGAGATTGTCTAGCAAGGACATCCGAGAGGCGGCGGGAAGAAAAAGAAGAGAGAGAAGAACGTGTCTGATTAGTTTAGGTATTGATGTCTCTCAAAAAAACCCTCTAGAGAAGTGGGAGGGGGTCTCAATTCCAGACCAGTGCCTATTTATTTCACTTATATTCTTTCTGTTTTTCCCACAGCAACCCTGTGAAGGGAGTTGGGTGGAGAGAGAGACTGGGCCAAAGTCAACGAAGTGACTTTTGTACTTAAGGTGAAACTAGAACTCACCCTCCTCCCCTGGTCACCAAGTTGGCTTTCACGCCTAAGGCAGAACTAGAACTCACAAACTACTGGCGATTGGCCCAGAGTCACTCAGCTGGCTTTCACACCTATGGCAGGACTAGAACTCACGGTCTCCTGGTTTCGAGGCTGGTGCCTTCACCATTAGCCCCAAAGGTGCTTTCTTTCAAAGTTAGACATTTAACCACTTGTCCAAACTAGCTTTCCTCCTCCCAACTTCCAGAGGGCCAAGCTATCTGAGATGGCTTTGGTTCCATGCTTCCCTGTCTTGAAAGGAAAGGCCCATGCCAGCAAGGCCCCACCCAACTTCTCTCAAGCTTCTCAGTTTCTACTGCTGGCGCATTTCAGCAAATTCTCAGCTGCTTCCCAATTTGGGACGAGGGGTAGGGGGCTCATGAAAGGAACAGCGGGAGCATGATGCAGCCCCCTCTTTAAAAACCGTCATTTCCATATAAACACAAGATGGGAGAATTTTACCTGTCCCATGCCCTCCTCCATAATTTTGGTAGTTAAATATTCACTCCAGCACTGCATGCAAAACTTATGTCCACACTCCAAGCCAGTGAAATACTGTAAAGACAAATCGTCATTAGCTTTACTCATTGTCACAGCTGTGAAACTGCCCACGGTGCCATCTTTCACGGGTTCAGAATAACAACAGCACCACCAGTGAATTCATGGGCTGCCACGAACAGTCATCCCAGAAGCCGCCGACCAAAGTGCCATGGAATACGCGTGGGATTTCTGATCCCGCTATCCAAATCATGCTGCCGCGCTTCCTGTGGTTTTTGTATTCAAACGATGCCATTAAGATGGCTAAGGAACAAGCTGGCGTATTCCCCAAAATCTCCCGTTTACAACTGGTGGTGCTGCTGGAGATGTCCAGATGTTGGAGCTATAACCCCTGCTTTGTATCCTAGGCACTGCCTTTATCTTCATCTACAACCAGGGTCCTGAATTCTGGGAGTTGAAGTCCACAAGTCTTAAAGTTGCCCAGTTTGAAGACCCCGGATCTCCAGCATCTGCCTACAAGACTACTGGGCAATCAAGCACCCCCAATATTTTGAGGGTACAGGGATAGCTTGTCGTCAACTTACAGATGTAATTGAGTGCCCAGAATTACAGCTGTAAGTTATTGCAGTCATAAGTTGAGGCACGCACAAATAACTGGAAATAATTTTCGGCATTTTTTTTCTCACAGTGGTCATTAAGCAAATAAGGCAGTCATTTCCTAGGCTATAAAGCACCCGTTCCGTGGCCGTTGTAACTTAGAACAGTCATAAAGTGACCAGTCATTAGGTGAGGACAACCTATACGGAGGAACCTTGACCTGATCCAGAAAGATCCCTTTAAATATTTTGGTGATCAAAATATGTAACTTTGGGAGGCACCGATCCAGAATTTTTACAATTCTCCCACTTTAAATGTAAAACCAGTATAGCACTTTCCGATTCTGCTACTCCAGAAGCTCTGCAACCATTTCAATGATTACGAATTTCAACCATCTTATGTGAGATCTACTTGCTGTAGGTGGAGCATATTCAAAGATCTTTTAAGAAGCAGAAATCTGATCACAAGACAGTTATGATAAGGAGAGAGACAGGAAAGGGAAATGAAATTAGGAGATGTTTAACAAGGGGGAAAGGAACCGGAATCATTGGTATGTAATTATCTCTCTTCTACTGCAGAAGAAGGAGATTGAATATCTCTGTTAACATATCCTCAAGATATTACCAATAGGTATTTATCTGGCATTTATTGGTGTATTTGTACTATTTTAGGTCTTAGCTTTTATCTATAAGCACGCCTGCAAATAGCACAAATAGTTAAAGAACAAAGATAATGTCAGACTAATCAACAGCTAGCTAGGCCTTACACAGAGGATTACAGAAACCTTCCTGAATGCTTTTCAAAATCATCTAAAACCAGCATTTATTTTCTTTCTTTCTTTCTTTCTTTCTTTCTTTCTTTCTTTCTTTCTTTCTTTCTTTCTTTTTCTTTCTTTCTTCTCTCTCTCTCTCTCTCTCTTTCTTTCTTTTTCATTCAAGTTATAGACTGCACAATTTGGAAGGCACTCACCGAATTCGGATAGTTGAGATAGCAGATCTGACACGGCATGTCCTGCGCAGATGATCTGGTGTTCATCTGACGTGTTCGAGACTTTTTACTAGGATTAATGACATGACATTCCGCAAACAGCTTCTCTAGGTTGCCGTCAAAGTACCTACCCAAAGAAGAATGAAGCTTAATAAATAATAATTTTTTTAAAAAAAACTCTGAAAAATCCGTCTTTTTAAAAAAAAGAAAAATCCTTGAAAATAATTCCAGCTCTGGGGCCTATACTGGCCCAAACCTTCTGTGTTTTAATTCATCTGTTAGCTAAAAGAGGCAGATGGTCTTGGGTCTCTAAATCCACAAAACTATTGCTCTTGTTTCTGTTTTTAAAACCGCAAAATGCACTGTGGAAAGTAGTGGCTCACCCTGCTTCAAATTTGGAGTCATTTCAGGGCACAGATCCCTGTTGCTGTGTAAGCAAGCATCTAATGGGTGTGTCTCCTCTCTCCCCCCGCCCTCCCCCACACACAGAGTCACATATACAATCACATTAAATTTGCAAATAAATACAAGCTGCAACTAAAGAGACTCCTTCCATCTCGCCAAACGCAACTCTTGATACAATCAATGTCAGTGGGGAAAAATTGTTGGGAGACCTGAAGGGTCAGGAAGAGAGCATCCTGGAGAAACATGATCACAAAGAGTCAACTTCAAGGTCATCACAAAGACTCAACATCAATTCGATGACCCGCTGCCGATCAATAAACACATTCAAAAATATTCAGCCATACGGATGCGGCCCCGGGCGTATAACGTTGCCTTCAGCAATTAAACATTAAATTAGAACTGGTACAGAGAACACAACGTTTTCCTTCTCTCCAAAGAAATATACCAACATCTCAAGTTACGCTTCTGAAAAGAATGTCAAACTGGATGCATTTAGCCTCTCGTGTTGTCTTAAAAAGTGATTTGAAATTGTAAAACAAAAACTGAAAGTGAATACCGTTGCTTCGACAGAATAATGCTTGTAGATAAACTCTCCCACATGAAAAGTATTCAAAGCCCTAATATTTCAAGAGATGATGAACAGGCCATCCTCTCAAAGCTTGGTGCAACTCCAAAATTTCTAGGGAAGGTTGTGGAAAATGCCAGTATGATTGATTACAATTAGATAAAGCCAATCAATTAAGTCTACTGATAAGAAAGGCTCATGACTATAGTTGCTAGTTAAGCGTTTCACTCGTAAAGCCATTTTAGGAGCACTTCCAAGTTTGGATTTCTTTGTCACACTCACCTAGGGTGCATTTCACCAGTCTGTTAACTAAGCAACCATATTTTGGTCCACCCAACAGATAAGGCCAAAACCACATTATATCTCTGACATAAATTTTACTAAGTAGTTCTAATACTAAGGCAGCTAAGCACTGAAGCTTATGTCTCTATGCCAATTAAACAAACAATTCCCTTTTATCTCATGTTTCAAATATCTTAACTTTATTCCATAACAAACTCTTAACTGTTAGCATCTTTGCTAAGGATAATAGCATAATGGCACCACGTGGTTTTTAAGTATCTTGTGAGAGATATGGAATTATACCACCCAGGCTGAAATTATGAATTGTGTAAGGAATTTTGCAAAAGTCCAAACCATGTAATTTTCCAATAACTGGCCCAAGTAAAGACATTTTTCCTCCTCTCCTCCCAAGGGACCTCAATAGGCTTCTTTGATTTCTAAGTTGCCTCAAATGTCAAGGCGTGATGGGCTTGGCTCACAAACATGGCCTATTTTCTACTTTTATTTGTTGAAAGAATATAGGAATCAACAATAGTTGAGTTCTCGCTATTCTGACTACCCAGGAGGAAGACCAAGCAATTATCAAAGTTATTTTTTTTTCTGCTTGAGTTTCTTTAGCTATATTATTAATCCCTTGCATCACTGCCTCACTGTTGCAGGATAAAGAATCGATTTTAGGAATAAATTTCTAACCAATATTGCATATGTTGCAATATTTATTGTGAAGCTATCTTGACTCATGATGGCTGCCTTCTAAGGAAGAAAATAAACAAACCCCTGACCTATAATCTTTTGAGAATAAGCTCCTCCTAGCCAAACCCTTGCCTTTTCTGCTCACTCAGTCACCGTTCGCTAAGACCAGAGGACTCCAAACTTGGCAACTTGTTAAGATCTGTGGACTTCAATTCCCATAATTCCTCTGCCAGCCAGGCTGCTGGTTTAGTAAATTCCGGGAGTTGAAATCCACGGGTCTTCAAAGTTGCCAAGTTTGGGGATCCCTAACCGAGACAAAACTAGAGTTCATCTCATATACACACGAAGAAACCACCTCACTTACCTCTCCATCAGCTTTTCTTTATCCCAGTTGAAATGACTGAGGAGTATTCTGGTGATGGTGGCCGGATTCTAGAAGAGGAAGAAGGAAAATCATTTTAAGGAATGGGAGCAGCAGCTATGCCATTTCTCCCAAAACTTCATTCCTCCCCACCCCCAAACTCCCAAGTATATTTGATATAACCGGGGTAGTTATTTCAAAGGCAAATCCAAGTTGAAACCAGTTGCATGGTTAGCACTGGTCAATAGTGAGTGCAATCTAAAACTGTGTAACCTCAAATTTTCTTATGACACCTCTCACCATGGAACATGTCCCATAGAGTTCCCCAGTTCCCATAATACACACTAGAGATTGGGGGAGTCTTTGGGGCTCTGTGAGGTCGTTTTCTTGCAAATGTTTCATGACCCAACTAGGTAACGTCATCAGTGTTAGAAGGGGGGGGGGGAGAGGATTGTGGGATCCACAGTGCTCTCTGAACTTGGTTGGTTTCTTGCAGATGTTTCATGACCCAAATAGGTAACATCAGCAATGTTAGAAAGGAGTGGGATTTGCAGAATGGAGGAGGAGAACTGCTATGGGATTCTTGGTGGTCTCTGAGTTTGGTTGTTTTCTTGCAGGAGTTTCATGACCCAACTAGGTAATATCATCAATGTCAGAAGGGTGAAGGAGGAGGATTATTGTGGGGTCCATGCTGCTCTGGGCTGTTGTCTTGCAGATGTTTCATTTCCCAAACTAGGGTGAGAAGTAGGGTCTGTGGAAGAGGAGGATTGTGGGGTAGCCTGGTTGCTTCCCCGCAGGTGCTTCACTATCTGAACTAGGTAACGTTATCAGGGCTAGTAATGACACGGTCTGCAAGAAACACCACCCATCTCAGAGAGCATCTTTTCAACCCTGAGCTGCAAATAATCTCTTTTATGGGTAAACCAGAGAGAACGTGGACCCTGTAAAAAATGGGGACTCACCCACCCACTAAATAAACTAGATCTAGAGTGTTTGGCTTTCATTCATTTTCTTTTTTTCACACATTCAGGCAATGTTAAGACCAGGCTCCAACAGGCTAACCCAAGAGTCCACTAGCCTTTTTAAAAAAAAAAATAAAAATCCAGATTTTATTTTGAATGTTCCATGCTATTTACATACCCCACAGATACCAATGAAACTGAACAGGATTACTAGTACAGATTTCCACAAATAGAAAGGCAGGTAAGGCATACAAGTATAATCCTCTTAGCTATTAAATGTCAGTTTAATGTTTCATTGTGCAACTGGACTTACTGGCACAACAAATACCTAAGCCCAGCTGACAAATACCAGGAGCATTCACATCTCATAATAAACAAAATATCTGGGAGTTTTGGCTTAATGCAAGAGAAGAAAGCTCGTGCATGCAAAAAGGTAGCTCCCACTTCGTTCCTCCTGGAAGAGGGAGGTGCAGAACTAACCCAAGAGATCTGCTTTTGTCTAGTTTACCTACCAACCATGGTAAAACTCTGGCAGAAGAAACCAAACGGATCAAAGAAGGATGCACCAGAAAACCAGAATTCTTGGGAGATTCCACCCTATCATGACTTGTGAAGGAGCCCCAAGATTTAAAGGGTTGAAAGATAAGCAGTGTGCCTTTGGTCTTGTCATTTGGCTTTATTTTACATTAAATAGCGTTTACAGTTTGAGCACAAGTAGTCCTCGATTTACAACAATTCATTTAGTTCCAAGACCGTTCCAAGTTACAACTGCACTGGAAAAAGTGTCATGTCCGTTTTTCACAGTTATGACCACGGCAGCATTCCCCCAAAGTGACATGATTAAAAATCAGACGCTTGGCAACCGACTCGTATTTATGACGGTTGCAGTGTCCCGGGGTTGTGTGATCAGCGAGAAAGGCAGAATCACTTAACAACCATGATACTAGCTTAACAACTGCAGTGATTCACTTAACATTCGTGGCAAGAAAAAATGGGGCAAAACTCAGTTAACAAATGTCTCGCTTAGCAACAGAAGTTTGGGGCTCTACTATGGTCATTAAGTCGAGGACATGTATTTGACAAAGGAGATTACTGTCACATTAAACTTAGTCATTTAAAAAAAAAAAAGCATAACTATACAGCATTTGGAGGAGTTGCTGTCACTGAATAAACGAAGATGTGAAAGAAATTGGAATGGAATATACCAGAGTACTACTAGAAGTTCTATTCTCCACCCAGGCAATACCATTGCTACCAAATGTAGAACACCACAACCTATTTATTTACTGGTGAGACTGCTCGGAAAGGAAATTTTATCTGGCTGTCAATCCCACGCAGACATTATCTGGCAGTATTTCCATGTATTTTCTCCCAATTCTGCCTCATATGCTGTATGCAAAAAAGGGGGGGGAAGGGTCAGGTCCTTGTCTGTATTATTTTAGTGCTAATGTTTACCTCTTTGGCCTGTTCATTAAAGCCAGAATTATTATTACAGCCAGGAACAAAAGGAGGAAAAATGAGCAAAAATGGTTTAGAAAAACTCACGATCGACCAAGTTAAATGATCTCCACCAAGGAAATCTATTAGCAGTTCTGAAGAAAAAGTGAATTTTGTCTTTCAAGACTTCAGACTTTTTTTTTTTTAAATCTACATTCACAGATGTTCCTTGAAAATGGAACTATGGCTCTGCTATATGTGGTTCACATGGAGAAAATCCCAGGTTCAACCGCATTTGCAAAAAAGAGCTGGCAAAGACTCCTGTCTGAAGCCCTAGAAATGGAATCCAAGCAAATAAGGCTGAGCCAGGCAGATGAACAATATAAGTCACTTTCTTACATTGAATTACATATCCTATCAGGTTGAGGAAGGATTTTGTTTGAATGTATTTGATTAGTTATAGGATTATTGCTCTTTATTCAGAAAAAAAAAAGTATCTTCCAAGGATTTGTTGTTCAGGCAATAATGAAAAGCCTTCCCATCTTGGAAGGTTTTGACCTCTGCAATTTTCAACTTTATTCAGAGATTAAGTATGTAAAAGTCATTAAATGTATTAATATAACATCTATACTATGGGTAGGAATACCATTATATTTGAACACCAAAGAATGCAAGAGAAATGGGAATAGAATACAGACTAATTTAAATATAATTCAAGCCTATTTTTAGGATATGTAAGACAAATACATCTATAAAATCAGCTCTGGTGAACACATGGACATATAAATAATACAGGAATGTTTTGCCAATGACTTCTTTGGGAATTTTGTTTTTTACTTCTCAAAACAATGAATGGACCAAACAATCCTGTGTCAAGGTTACATGAAAGATAAAATTGGACGTTGAAAAGAGTTAATTTGATGTTAGCAACCGAAGCATTTTTTTACAAAAATCTCAACAGAATTCAGGATAAATATCACAGGCCTTCTCAAAATACAGCTAAAAGAACTGTAAACTCTAGTCGTTAATCAAAAGCCTTACCTATTTAGAAAATATTTGCAGCCTAAAAAAAACATCCAAGTTCAGTCATCTTATTCTAAGGCAACATGTTATATAACATTTCTTTTCTAGTTAGATCTGTGCTGGCATGATAATCTATCTACTCTGTTGCTCTAAGACTGCGAGTGATTAAAAAAAAAAACAGCTGTCCAACCCCTGCAGGCAGCCCTTCCAAAGTTAAAAATATATCCAGGATCTGTAAGGCCGTTTCAACCTTACAAGCGATTGCTTCACTAATAGTATTAATTTCTGGGATGGCTGTCATAATTAGTTCAGGTTCTATTTTACAGCCATAGACACTAAGAAATAATTTAGAATATAGCATAATCTAAATGAGATAAAATACAGAATTTGCCATGTCACTGAAATGTCACATGTGTATAATATTAGGTACGTTTGTGCAACCGGGAACACGAGGATGGCAAATTGCTAACTGCAGGGAGAATTCCAAAGGTGGGTTTTTTTCAAGCGGCATTTGGAGTTTCTGGTTTTTCTTTGAAGAGGTTTTGCTCCTCATCCAAGAAGCTTCTTCAGCTTTGACTTTCCTCACCATCCAGTCAGAGTTGAAGAGGCTTCTTGGATGAGTAGCGAAACCTCTTCAAAGAAAAACCAGACACTCCAAATGCCGCTTGAAAAAGCACCTCTGGGACCACCATGACTTGGATGGCTGAGAATCTCCAACAGACATTTGCAGGGATAGCGTATTCCCAAACTTAGCTGCATATTTCTGCGTCGTTCTAACATTGCTTCCTCTCCCCAAGGCTCACTTTAATCTGAAAACTGTGTGAAAGGCTGGCTGGCTCAAAGTCCACCAGTCACATCATCATCATCGCTTAATGAGAAACCTACAGTTTAAGCCCGAACCTCCATTCTCCAGCATCAACGTATTGCTTTCCTATTCACTACAAAGTATAAATTAATCATTCTCACAGCCAATGCTATCAGAGAGAAATATGAGTCTACCTTCAATCCACTGTGTAAAAAAAAAAAAGAGAGAGAGGGCTGTATAAAAAAGTAAACAGGTTGATTGTAGGTTAACACAAAGATGGCGACAGTGTTGCAATTCGTACAAACTTTAGTGTTGCAATTTGCACCACCAGGAAAACCCTTCCAAATATTCAACCTAAATGTCAGGATTGTCGATTTCTGAGGATATCACAGCAATAATGCAGTCATAACCTTTTTTTTTTTTTAACATCAATCCTTTCCCATTTGGGATAACGGGGGCAGAGTAACAAATTTGGTTAAAAATCAGAATTCCAAAAACTGCTAAGAAGTTTCTGTGAGACCTTTGAGTAGTACAATTGGATACAATCTAATAGATACAGTAGATTGGCACATCTAGACATCATCAGTATGAATTAGTTCACAACTGGATGGAATAGTCTCCCATTGAGGGTTTTGGACCACAACCAAACTCTCTGGTCGAGACTGATGTTTTTCAGCTTTGCAGTTTAGGGCTGAGAGTACAATCCCTTTGGTAAGCAACAGAGTTACTTATGTGCAGTGGAGCAGCTTGGAGCTTACTACACAAACCAAGAACGTAGCAATGGTTTGAATCGGACCCCAGGCCATACATACTAGACATAACACATTTCATATTCAATTTTCTTCTTCTTCTCCACAGCCTTAAAAAAAGAAATAAGGCAAACGAAATGTTAAGAGGTTTCATGTTTCCAAAATGTTAAAACATGTTTTTGAATACAAAAAGGAATCTGGCCACTTTACATTTAAGAAGGGCCAAAACACAGAGACTTGACATAGCATCCTTGTGTTAAGTATTCTGGAAGACATTAAATACCAGCTATCTAAAAGGAATGCATGCACATTCACATATAAAGAGATACAAATCACCTGACGCTATTAATTTTGCAGGGTTTCCAGGCAATATTTGAATCCTTCTCAATAGCATGTACCATTTAAGGACTGGGATACCTAAACACCACCATGAAGTGGTCATTTGACTAGAGGGGCAACTCACTCCTCCTCTCTCGATCCCAAAATTAAACAAAAAGAGAAACGAAGAGACAAACCAATGTTTATTTTGTGAACAAAATTTGACTACCCAGCAAGCAGCAGCAAAGGGTCAAACGTTGAGCGACTCATTCATATAAAGACCCAGTCATTCTAAGATAAGACCGTTAACCAAGTTGTCTTAATAAGGCCTTCTTAAATCTGACCTTGGACCTGCCAGACACAAAGACATCCTTCACTGTCAATCTTTAACTTGCCTCTGTATCGAAGATTAGGGCAAGATAAGCTCTGGATTTGGGCCTGTTCAATTAGTACTGGAAAGCGGAAGGAATATGGTCCATCCACACCCAGGATTACTCACCCAGCTTTAACTACCACTCAGTTCTTGGCATCCAGGTCAAACTGTTCTTCCCTTTCCCTTAGCAAGTCTTCAGAGAATTAACGTCACCTTGTTTGTGAGTTCTCAATGCAAAAAGTAAATCACCGCTGTGTGTTTAGTTCAGGTGTTTTCCACCTACCCTAAAGTCAGAGCAAATCTCCAGGTAAGCATAAGACTGCGGTCAGTGCTAACCACAGAAGGGGGACAAGGAAGAACTCATATCGTAGGGGAGTTCTTTAAAATACAGACTAAAGTTCACCACCTCTGTCATTCTCGCCTTAACACATCATGAATGACCCTTGGAAGTTTGAAAAAAAATAGGTATGTGTATATTTGCAGAGTTTCAGGGACATGAACGCCAATGTCTGGGCCCATCAAGCCAACCCTAAAGAAACTTGGGATAGAAAGGGGTTTTTATTGCAAGCCATGTCAACAGCACCTCAACAAGGTCTTAGGTATGCAATGTTACAGATAAACCATGCAATATTTACATAGGAAAGGACAGAAGCCTCTTGTGGGCTGTCTGAATGCTCACTCAAGAGAAGACCAGGGGCCTCTTGCTACTCAGGTAATCTTGAGAATCTGAATAGCTCTTGGAAGCAGAAATACATCTTTCTCATCCACTGAGCATAGGTCACTCACCAGAATTGGACATATTTATGGCACGACAGGATTACAGATTACCGTTCCTCTTCCTCACAGGACATGGTCATCCTTGGAAGATGTGGACACTTATTCCCCGCAGCTCCCCATCCTATTCTAACCTCAGTTTCCTGATTACCTTCTGAAAATATTGATAAAAATGTGTGCGTGTTTCTATAGGCACCTCTGTCTCAAAATAGTCATTATGCTAAAACCAGGAGAGTTTTCAAACAAAACCAGGAAATCAATTCTAACCAAGCCTATCCGTCATTAGCACTCGGCAATTATCATTAGCTCAATGCAAATTAGAGGCAAAAGTTTTCCACAGCTTAAAACTTAGCAATTAGTCTACCTCCTGACCGCGTTCGTTTAATTTGAATTGTCTTGAAGGGTTGTTCCCTACAAGTCAACCTGACCATCGCAGGAGCAAGACTGATCTTTAGAGCAAACTCTTCCTAGACAGAATTAACACCTTTGCTTACTTAGCAACAGGAAATGCAATTACACACCTGTGCTAAAACCATTTTATTGTTTATACCCGGTGCAACTTTGGATGCCAGTTTCAGCTGGAAGGTATAAAATGCCCAGATTATGAATAACTCAAGCCTTTAATCTGGGATTTTCCTAACCTTGTTTTCAGAGCCAGCAATGTGACGTTTCGATATGTGAACTATAACCGTGTAATTGTAACTATAACCCTAACGTGAAATAGTATTTATAAATGCTAAAATACTTAAGTCCCCCTTTTGTATCAATGACATCAGCAGGAAGCTATACAATCTCAACAGACAGCCAATCCTATGCAAAATACACTTGCCCACAATAAGGGGTTGTTGAAAAGTTCCAGGAAATAAGAAACACCCTCTCTCTTATCACATTTCTAGAATATTTTTGGTAGCAACGGAAACGCCACTCCATATTGGACTTAACTTGTACCCAACCTGAGCTAATCCCTTTCAACAACTGTGCACACAGTCCTGCGGAACAAAAAATGCCAAGGCATAGGTACACATTCCTGGGCCCTGCCCTTCTTGTCATGTTGCCATCCTGAGCAGCTGCCCAGGGTCACCCAAAAGGATCCATGCCAGTATCAACTCGACCGCAGGACTGGGGTGGCTGAGCCTCCCTACCACACAAACCCTTCCAAGAATATAAAGTAAGATCCTCGGTGCTGAAACTACAAAGCCTGGGCCCCCTCTGGGTGACACCAATAGGAGGGCGATGACTCTGCCTTTGCCATTTTCCCGTTTGGGTTGGCGGGGGCGACCAGTCGTTGCTTACCTGGCATGCGCCGAAAGATGCCACCGAAACCCCTCCAGTTAAGCTCTTTACCTTCATGCATTTCTTGTGCAACCCATCTACTCTCTTACTTACTATCCTTTCTTCTCTAAGGACCCCAATTCACCCCTATAAAGGGGGGGGGCAACTTAGTGCCCACAAACCATGGTTCAGAAGGATTAATCGGGCCCTTCTTAACAGAAAGGATAACCACGCTCCCCCCCCCCTTTCCCCAGTTGCTTTGTGGTCACCCAGATTCACCCCTCTGAAGGGAGAGGGCAGAACCCAAAAATCAAAGGGGGGTGGGGGTGGTTATCCTTTCTTCTCTGCTAAGAACCCAGATTCACCCTTTTGAAGAAGGGGGGGGCTTACTGACCACAAAGCAACTGGGGGGGGGAGGGTAGTTATCCTTTCTCTCTGCTAAGGACCCCAATTCACCCCGCCCCCGCCCCTAGAAGGAGAGGGCACCACAGTGACCACAAAGTGGGGGGGGCATTTTAACCCTTTTCTGGCCGTCTCTAGAGCACCCTCTCTCTTCCCAGGCTGAGGCTGCAAGGCCGGAGATCTTTCCAGCCAGTGGAGCGGAGGGTGGGGGGGGGGGCTGAACTCGGCCTGGCAATGCCGGGGAAAGGATCCACTCGCCCTTTCCTGCGGGGTGGGGGTGGAAGAGGAAGGGGGGGGTCCTGGCTCCAGCCCCAGCAGCAGCGCCCCTGGAAGGCGTGGCTGGCGATGTCCGCTCCGGCCGCTTCTCGCGGCGGCGCCCCCTCCTCCTCCTCCCCCCCAGCCTTTCCCTCCCGCCGGGCCTGCTGTCTTCTGCTCCAGCCCGCGCCCCCCCCCCTTCCTTCTCTCTCCCTCTCTTCCATCGGCGGCGCGCGGCGGGCACGCGCACCTGGATGACCTCGTTGACCTCTCGGATGCACTCCACCATGTGCTGCAGGATCTGCTCGGCCGTCAGCACCTCGTAGCGGTAATCCTCCTCCTGCTCGTGGCCCAGGCCGCCGCCGCCGCCGCCTCCTCCACCGCCGCCTCCAGAGCCCGGCCCGCCTAGCCCGCTGCCGCCCAGGCCTCCTCCGCCGCCGCCGCCACCGGGCCCCAGGCCGCCCGTCTCGCCGCACAGCAGCCCGTCGCGCTCGCCGCCCACGCCCAGCCCGGGCTCGACCAGCTCCACTTCGCCCAGGTCGAGGTTGTCGTCGGGCTCGTCGTCGTCGTCGTCGTCGGGCTCGTCGTCGTCCTCCTCCTCGGCGCCGCTGTCCTCGCTGCACTCCTCGTCCTCGTCGAACTCATAGTTGTAGCCTTCGTCCGAGTCCATGGCGGCGGCGGCGGCGGAGGCGGCGGGAGGGCGAGCGAGGGAAGGGAAGGGAGGGAGGGAGGGAGGGAGGGCGCGCGCGCGCGCGCGGACGGGGCGGGGGAGGGGGGGGAGGAGAGCCGGAGCACGCGAGGCGGCGAGACGGGCCCGCGAGCGGGGCGGCGCCTCCCTTCCTCCCGCCTCCCCACCACCACCACCACCACCCGACCGGGGATCCGAAGGCTTCTTCGGCCTTGCACCGCCTCCTTTTCCTTTCGGCGGACCGATCGCCACAGCCCGCCCGCCCGCCCGCCCGCCCGTCGCCGCCGCCGCCGCCGCCGCCGCCGCTCCTCACAGGCGCCGCTGAGCCAACAAAGGGACGCGTCCGGCCCGCTCCGTCACCTCGACGCACGCCAGCACGCAGGCACGCACTTACGCACGCACGACGGGACGCGACGAGCGCCGCGCGGCGGGGGGGCGGGGCCAGCGACGCGACGCGCCTTCTTTTTTTTCTTTTTTTTACCCCTTCTCCCCTCCCTCCCCCAGCCGGCTCTCTCCGCTAGGCCTCAGGCGAGTGGGCGGGGTCCCACGTCCATGTTGAGCGTGGCTTAGAGGGAATTCGTCACGCGGGGGAGCCATCTTGGGAGGGTGCGCGCGCGCCTGCATTTGCTCGCCAAGGGATGGGGGGGGGTGGAATAGACAGGAAAGGCGGCCGCCATCTTGGGTGTGGCTAACGCTGTTTAAGGGGGTGTGGGGAGGGGGGGATGGATGGGTTTCCTCACGATACCTGCGGTTTAAACGCGGAGCCGGCTTGGCATGGCAAATTCTATGGCTGGATTCGGCCCTGCTGCCTTTCTGACCTGAATGCTGCCTTGCAAAGCTGATCAAGCTGGGTTTTGGAGTAATCAGGGGCAACTGTGTGGCTTCACCCGTGAACCCAGAACATGGGGCTAAATAAACCATGGTAGAGATACAGATAATCACAGTTGGGACCTTATTGGTCATCTAGTCCACCCTCCCCCACCCATGGTTAAGCATCCTGGACAAATCCTAGACTGATTTGCTTCACATACTCTCTTTCTCTAATTCTCTCTCACTCTCACTTATTCCTAGAGTAATTTTGCAGTTTTTAATCTTTTAAAGGGGCATTTGAAATACGGATTTACAGGCGGCTGTTACATATAAGCTGGGTTGACAAAATCAGAAACGAGGGGATAAGCCGCTTGGAAAAGCTGAGGGAAATCATCCAAACCATAAAAAAGCAAAAGTTAGAATATTTTGGATATGGGATGCAACACCCAGGAAAAATACGGCATCGTTCACTTCATCCTCTAAGGAAAGATTGAAGGCAAAGGGAGGTCAGGCAGAAGAAGAACATTGTGGCTTCAAAATCTAAGGGATCGGTTTGGACAAAACTCAGCAGCACTTTTTTGTGTGGCTGTTGATAAAAATAGGATCACCAACATGATCGTCCAATAATGGATGGAGGAGGAGGAGGAGGAGGAGGGGAAGAAGAAAGAAGAAGAAAAGAAGAAGAAGAAGAAGAAGATCATGATCATCCCTGCTTTTTTAGATCTTTTTCCATGCTGATCATATTTTTTTATTTCCTAATTACGAGGTGACTTGTAAATTCCCAAGAATTAAGCTGAGAATGTCAGGGTTGAAGCTTTATTTACAAACCATGATGGCTGGTTCCTGACCAAGCCTGGAAGACCCTCATCTCACTTAAAAAGGACCCTCACACAGCATTTGGTTGCATGGGTTTTCTACTTAAATATTAAAATGGACACTTTCATAGAATATTTATTTATTGAACCTGGTAAAATAGAAGTGTTAAACCTATAAGGTATCAACATCAATGCCTATGTCTTAGATGTATGGATCAAGCCTTCCATTCATAATTCTGCACCTTAATGTCAAGAGCATTTTTTTTCTGAATTGTCTATTATATTGGTGTTCTAATATATATTCTTCCATTTTTACTGCATCTTAATCTTATTCATGTAACAGAAGATGTGGAATAGAAGAGACTAGTTAAGGCCATCAAGTCCACTCCCAATTCAATGAAAGAATCCAAAAATAGCCCAAGCCCACACAGTAGACCAAAAAGAAACTCACAGCTTCACTTCCTTTAGTCAGTGGTCCTACTCTCAAAAGAAGAGCTGTTAATAACGGTAATAAACTAGAGTGGGGCATTAAAAAAGCAGCTTAGGAAACGGCTCTAACTGTCCACTTCCTTGAATAAAACACCACGGCTGGTGTTGCTCAACCTGTTGCTCAAAGATCTTCCCTTTGATTTGCCCTGCCAAGCCGGCTTCTTGCTGGCGGGATGGAACTAGATTTCTATTTGTAGGGCCAGGCTCCTGTTAAAAGCTTTGCTTTATAGGGTGAGATGGGTGGCCTATAAATTGAAGTGAGAGAGGAAAGGGAAAGGAGAAAAAGACAAAGGAAAAGAGGGAAGGGAAGGAGGGGGTGAAGAAAGGAAGGAAAAAGAAACAAAAAATAAGAGAAAAAAAGAAAAGAGAAAGAAAAAAGGGGAAAAGCAAGGACAAGGTGAAAGAAAGAAAGAAAGAACGAGAAAAAAAGAAGAGGAAGAAAAAGGAAATAAAAGAGGAGGAAGGAAGGAAGGAAGAAAGAAGAGAAAAGAGAAAAAGGAAGAGAAAAAAGGAAGGAAGGAAGAGAGAGAGAGAAAGGAAGAAAAAGAAAGGAAAAGAGGAAGAAAAAAGAGGAGGAAGGAAGGGAGAAAAAGAAGAGAAACAAAGAAAAGGAGGAGAAAAAAGGAAGGAAGAGAGAAAGAAAGAAAAAAGAAAGGAGGAAGGAAGAGAGAAAAAGGAAGAGAAAAAAGAAAGAAAGAAAAAGAAAGGAAGGAAGAGAGAAAGAAAAACAGAAAAAGAAAGGAAGAAAGAAGAAGAAAAGAAAGAAGAGGAAGAAAAAAGAAAAGAGGAAGGAAGAGAGAAAAAGGAAGAGAAAAAAGAAAGAAAGAAACAAAAAGAAAGGAAGGAAGAAAAAGAAAAGAGGAGGAAGGAAGGAAGAGAAAAAGGAAGAGAGAGAGAAAGAAACAGAAAAAGAAAGGAAGAAAGAAAGAAGAACAAAAAAGAAGAGGAAGAAAAAAGAAAGAAAAGAGGAGGAAGGAAGGAAGAGAGAAAAATAAGAGAAAGAAAAGAAAAAGGAAGAAAGAAACAGAAAAAGGAAGAAAAAGAAAAGAAAGAAGAGTAAGAAAAAAGAAAGAAAAGAGAGAAGGAAGGAAGAGAGAAGAAGAGAAAGAAAAGAAAAAGGAAGAGAAAAGAGGAAGAAAGAAAGAAAGAAACAAAAAGGAAGAAAAAGAAAAAAGAGGAAGAAAAAAGAAAGAAAAGAGAGGAGGAAGGAAGGAAGAGAGAAAAAGAAGAGGAAAGGGAAGAAAAAAGGAAAGAAAGAACAAGGGCACAGAGCCAACCC